AAGATCTATGAAAGCCATTTCATGGGAAAATTAAGAACCACCACAGAAGTTACAGGTGACAAGAGTAGGGGACGTGAAAAGTGGAGAAGGGTGTATCTGAGATGTTAGGAAAAAGGAAGTTAAAAAGAAAAGTTAAATAAATGAACTGTGTGTATGTGATTGAGAAAAGAGAGACCTTGGGAAAACATGGATAGATCAGTAGTGGTCTGTGTTGGTGGTGATACATATCTGTCCTAGGAACCCAGTGACCTTCTGAGCTGTCACACTGGAAACGCTGTGTGTGGTACTGTGTGCCTTCTGAGGTTAAAGCATTCAGCCTGTGTTCTGTCTGGTGGTTCTCAAACACTGCCTTCATATGCCTGTTTCTCTTTGTTCATATAGGTATTAATCTTAAAATATTCAATGTTTATTTGTTAAGATTTATTTATTTTGGGGAGAGCGCACACACAAGCACAAGCAGTAGGGGCAGAGGGACAGGGAGAGACTCTCAAGTAGACTCTGCGCTGAACGTGGAGCCCATCACAGGGCTTGATTCCACGACCCTGAGGTCACGACCTGAACCAAAACCAAGAGTTGGGTGCTTAACGGATTGCACCACCCAGGCACCCCTTAAAATATTCAATGTTTTTAAAAGGTGAAAGAATATAGAACATTCATCAAAGTGCAGTTTGCACTTCTAATTGAGGTATAGCCCTCAGTTATCAAGAAGACTTGACTTCCTGTACCAAAATTTGATTACCATGTTTTCTCAGCACATAACCTGTTTTTAGTGAGTTAAATGTTTGCTTCTAAATATAGCTGGTATATATTAAAATATTATTTTCCTGTCCCAATAAGTACGTTGAGTATAAACCCTGTGAACTTGTTCCTTCTTTCCTCAGAGACAGCACAAAAGTAAATTTTAAAATCCTTTCATTAAAAAAAGGAGAACCCAATTCCCTCATTTTATAAATGAGGAAAGGGAGGCCCAGGACTGCTTAAGCTTTGAAGGCTGGATCCTGGGAGCACAGGATCCCAACGTCCAGGCATTTTTCCCACTAAATCATATTAGTACTTCAAGGTAGTTCATAAATACATGCCAATCAAACAAGAGGTAGCTGAACCAGTAAGATTTGCTTTATGTGTTAAGGCACATTTTTCCTGATTCATAAGGTACTGTGCACTCAAAATTGTATTTGTTGTTATGTTTAAAAAAGCAGAAATAAGTGGTGCCTGGCTTGCTCGGTTGGAAGAGCATGTGACTCTTGATCTCAGGGTCTTGAGTTTGAGTCCTGGGATGGGTTGTAGAGATTACTAAAAAAACAAACTTAAAAGGATTTTAAATAAAAATGTTTTAGGCAGAAGTGTGTGTTATTTCCTTTTGATATCTGTGTCACATTAAGGCCTTAATACTATGATATATAAAACATTCTTGCATCTCTAGCAATTGGTTTTAAGATATTTGTGTGGATTTTTGCCTCTTAAATATGCTCTCAAAATTTTAATTAGGAATGTATCTGGTTACTATCTTAGAAACTAGCAGCTGTCTAAAATAACAATAGAAAGGTAAACAGTTGAGATAGAAGGAAATGTAGAAACAGGAATGTGGGCAGCATTTGTCCTTCTACAGGCTCACACCTTGCCCATGAACGTACCCGTGTCTTCTCTAGCCTCTCGACTTATTCCAGAAGTTCCAGCTCGCTGTCTGGGATTTCAAATGCATTTTCCTATCTTCCCCAGGATGGCTGGGTTACCAGAAGCCCACTAAAGTCAGTCTAACTGGATCCATGTGGTAATGAAACCATGGAACCCATTCTGAGTTTTGGTTGGGGAGTGACACGGATGAGAGGGGCCCCTCTCCCCATCTCACTTGCACCATATCCTTGGATTTGTTGTACTTGTGGCAGAGGTCAGGACGGAGGCTGGTGGGGACCCCTTTGGCTGTGGGAGGTAGGGGAAAAGCTGGAAGGGAGAGCAGAGATGTTTTTGTATGGTGAAAAGGGCCAAAGGTATGGGATTCCAGCTGCTTGCGTGTGTTTGCGAGGTTGGGGTTAGGCAGAGCAGAGATGGGAAAGGTGGAGGGCATGAAGCGTTTGCTTACGGAGATCCCGTGGGGGTGGAAAAGTTGTAGTCCCTTCTGCTGGCAGGAGGTTCCAAGGAAGGCAAATGTTTGTAGGATGGAGCCCTGTCAGCTCAGGTTTGCCTGTATTCCTAAAATTCACGTGTATGTAGAAACCCTGATAGTGACCATCTCTGGTAGTAGGTGTATGTGGGTTTTTAACCTTTTTGGAAGGTATTTTGGCAAGATTACTCCTAATTAAACATGCACATGTTCTTCAACTCCGAAGTTCTGCTAGGAGTTTATCCTACAGGGGAATTCACATGCATGCCTAGAAACATGTCCAAGGAGGTTTGTCAGAGCTGCCAGCCTAAAAACAGCATAAGAGTCTACCTGTTAGGGACTGGTTGAATCCGTGCTGTTGCATGGGTGCAGAGCAGAACCACCAGCCTGAGAGGGAATTAGATCTGTGGAGAGGCAGGAGAAGGCCACTGAAATGTCAGTGGGAAAAAGCAGCACTGAGCAGTGTCTGGAAGGACATACCAGGCCACTTGGGAGTTTGGGTGGGGATGGAGCCATAATATTTGCCTGAAAACTCTAGAACTTTTGCAAATTGCCCATGTTCCTTTCCATTTAAAAACTCTGGTAAGATGACAAAACACTTGATAATTAGAAATAAATGTTATATTTAAAATGTTTGGGTAAAATTTGTATAATCGGGTTTTAAATGGTATCCGCTAACCGTTCTTTTCTTTAGCAGTGGGGGAACATTTCCCCCCCTGTGGTTTTTAAGATATAGTAGGCAGCTGATCGCATGTGGATTCATCTCACACTGAAGGTAGCAGAAGGCTGAGCCTGTGTTTTACTCCTTTGTTTTCAGGTCCCGGCCTGTGATTAATATTCAGAAAACGGTCACCGTGACACCAAGCACGATTGATCTCCGCCAGAAAACATTCTGTGGGGCACCCAGCGGGATATGGTGAGAGCTCTCATAGCCCTACTGTAGGGTGGCCCTGTCGCTCTGAGGAGCTGCAGGCAACAGTAAGGGGACAAGGAATCTGTCCAGTGAACATACCACATGTTGCTCCTCCGTGGGCAGTGGGGGGATTTGAGACCTGGGGACCATGAGGTGGTTGGTTTTTTTTTCCTACTACAGCAGTGCATCTTTTAAGGAATATGTGTTTGATTTTGTACAGCCTCAAGGTGAAGGCCTGTTTTGAATATACTGCCAAACCCACAGGTTACAATCCTTCGATAAGTAAGTACCCAGTACCTTTAAAAATTATGTATGTTCTGTCTGCCAGGTTGAAAGTAATGCATAAGTAGTAGAAAAATAAAACTGCAGTGGCCAACCTGGGTTCATAAATTCTTGCATAAGGAATTCAGTGGATCTATTGTCTTCTCTTTAATCAGGAGGGCAAAGCACAGGAGGGGATAACTCTCCATTTGGTCCTCATTTGAATTTTCCAGAGCAGATGGTTTAGGACAGCAGGCCTTGGAAAAGTACTCATTTGCTACCACAACCGTTTCCTCCATTTCTGCCTTTGAAGAGCAACTTGGAAAATTGGTTTTGCGGTTGCGAGGTGGTAGGCGGTGGTTTTGGAGAGTGAGTACCGGAGCCTGAGTATCACGCAGAGTTGCTGGCTTAGTCTCTCCTCACTGCATGGCCCCCTCCCAGAGGCCTCCCCGGCCCAGAACACCCACGCCGTGCCCCTGCAAGCAGGCTCCTGGGGGACTGGAAATCTGGTCTTGAGAATGCAGAGCCCTGGGCTCTGCTCTGGGTTGCAGCTCTGAGGCTGGCTCACCCTGCAGCATGGCACAAGTCTCAACATTTTAGTTTTCATTTCCCTATCAGTAATAAAAATACCTCTAATAGGAATTCCTACATAGGATTGTGGTGGAAAGCAAAGGAGATACTGTGGCTAAGGCCATCTATCATTTATAAGGTATTATGCGGCCTTCTTTCTTTATAATCCAAACAGACTATTTTGCCGCAGGTTTAGACAAGGCTAATGACACTCTAACAGTGGTGATGATCACCAGAGCCTGCTGTGGTAGATGTTAGTAACAGCCATATGTTTTCAGGTGTGAGCCCCCTGCTCCAGCTCCAGGCTGAAGATGGGGACGTGGGAATTTTTTTTAAGATTTTATTTATTTATTTGACAGAGAGAGAGCACAAGTAGGCAGAGTGGCAGGCAGAGGGAGAGGGATGTGGAACTTGATCCCAGGACCCTGGGATCACGACCCGAGCCGAAGGCAGACGCTTAACCGACTGAGCCACCCGGGTGCCCTGGGACGTGGGAATTTAAAGAAAAGCTTTTCCCCAAAGAGCAAGTACAAAGAGTGAGGGTGATCCCCATCCTGGGTCAGGCGATGGTCTCGGCGGCCCCGTATGATGGCGTAGCATGCCACCACGGGAAGCCTTCTTGAGGGATAGGGTGGTTTGCAGTTTTTACTTTACCTTGAGGTAATGAGTTTTCTTAAGTTTCCTTCTGGTTACATAAAGTATTATTCGGTTTTCTTTATTGAAAAGATACCCTTTTAATATCCCAGAATTTGGCGAATATGTCTGTCTTCCTGCGGTTCACCTTGTCATAGGCCCACTTCCTTTCCATATTTTAAGCCATCCTCAGGCAGTTCCTTTGCCTCCCTCAGCTTTTTTGGCCCCTCTGCTGGGCTGTCTCCTGCTGTAGCCTCTCTCCCAGGGATCTCCCGACCTTGTTGGGACGCGTGCTTGGTGTTGCTGTATGATGGTTTGTGCACAGGGCGCTGGTGGCCTTTCACTTTGCCTTTTGATGTGGCTGGTATTTCTTTGAGTGTTGGAAACGATTCCTGGCATGGCTTTCATGGAGGAGAAAATGTCTTCTAGGATTTCTCACACACTTAGTATTGTTTGTGTTATTTCTACCCAAACGCGATACGTTACACTTGCCTGTTTGGATAACAGGCGTTTCACCATTGTGTTTGGAGTAGACTAGAGAGACAAGGAGAAATTGTGATTCTTTGATTAGATGAGGAGAGGAAATGGGGAAACGTTTTTATTCTTTGAGTCTGTCATTTTCCCACACCACTCTGACTGTAGATGTGAAGCCTCGCCAGAGCTGTCCTTGTCTTCTCTCACGCCAATCATTTTCATAAAATTACAAACTTTGTTCTAGCTTTAATGCAGCATTTGATGCCCTGTGTGTTAACTTCATGTTCAGTAACTGTGCCATTAACGAAGTGTTTATTTACGACTCTGTTAGCTGAGTGTTTACTGATGGCCTATCATGGATAGAACTTTCTTCTCTGAAGACGTTTAGAGGGACCCTGTTTTTCCTTGCCTGTAGTTCCACAGTACTGGGAAATTCTAAACCAAACAGAACTTCCACCAAGCTGCATAAGTGAATCCATCTAAAATCCATTCCCAGTGTCTGAGAATGTGAGCTTGTTGTTTGATGAGGCTGTTTTAACTCGGGGGTCCTCAGATGTGGTGTTCCATACATGCAGATATTTATAATTGAGCCTTAATGAGTATTCTACTTGGCTTGCCCCTCAAAAGGTCAGCAAAGGTGGCCTGCAAGGATTTTAAGATGATGTGAACTGTCTGGAGGGTTAGGGAAGGTTAGAGTGGGCTTGGTAGATAAACGGTTTTAATGCACCCACACCCTCCCCCTGCTTTTGCCGTGAGGGGCACTCAGCATGTGAGCCTTCATCTGGTTCGTTGTGAAGTTAACAGGTCATTGATAAATGGGTGATGTCAAGGCTACAAGGCAAAAATGGAGGCACATTCCATTTGGCAGAAATTACTATTGAAACTGTCAGGGTCTCTAAATTTTGGTCTTGCGTGTATCAGTAGCTGTTGTTTTGGCATAAGAATAACATCGTATTGTTTGTGTGCGTGTCTCTGTGTGCACTGGTGTGTGTGTGTGTGTTGATGTGGTGCCGATCACTCCCACTTCCGTTCAGTTCTAAAATCATACTTACATCAGGTGTTGTCCCGTTGCCGGGGAACACAGTGGCGGGCAGACTGATGTGGTCCCCGTCCGCGCCTTTGCAGTGGAGCAGTCACAGCGAAGTGGCCAAGGGTAGTGAGTGGGGAAATGGAATGCCATCCGATCCCCCAGGAGAGGTCAGGAACGTCCCCGCGGAGGAAGTGATGTCCACACTGAGATCCGACGGAGGAGCAGAGTTAGGCAGCCGGGGGGAGGTGGAGAGGGCCGGGGTCCACCTGGCAGAGGAAGAGAGCGACTCATGCAGAGGCCTGGAGGAAGTGGAAGCCCGTACATCTGAGAGGCTTTATAAAGCAGTTGTCTTGTGTATTTGTGACAGAGACTTCGAAGCTGACGCCGCCTCTGCCCCTCACTGTATGATCCTGGGCCAGTCACCTACTCTGTGGGCCTCCATTTCTTCAAGAGGAGGGTATTAAAGTAGATGCTCTTTGAGGCCTCTTCACAACTCCAACATGCATATTAGAACATGGGTGGTTCATTTTCTGTGTTTTCTGGAGATTTTTTTCCTCAAGGCTGCCTTCTCTGGCCCTATACACACTTTGGTTTGCTTCCCCTTCTCATGGTTAGTAATGAATGAATGTGAGTAATTTAAATATCCCATAAAGAAACATAGTAACTACATCCAGCAAACCAGCAAAGAATGCATTCTGAAGTCGAGAAATGAGATTTTGATCATCCAAATCCTGGCTTGCCTCTGAGCACCATTAGTAGAGGTAATCAAGAACAGGATGTACCTTCTAGGCCTTTGGAGGTTGGAAACTTTGGTGTGGGAGATACAGTAGCTGGCAAATGGGCCCTCTAGACTCTAAAAGGAATGTGTTTTACCTTTCATTTCTCTTAAATGAAAAGTCTCCTCCTGTTCTCAAAAGACTTCTCTATCTCTAATATGTATTATTCCCATTTTAGACAACTATCCTTTATCAGTGCTTCTTAAACTTTAATGTGTCTAAGAACCACCTGATGGTCATGTTCAAATGCAGATTCTGATTAAGTAGGTCTGGCTGGGGCTTGAGGTTCTGAATGCCCAACAGACCTGAGGAGAAGCTGCTGCTGGATGGGGCCACGTAAGCAACAGACTACTGAATGGGAGTCAGTGCAGGCCTTTCGGGAGTGCTGGGTCCCCCGTTATCTTTAGTGCTCGGAGTTCCTGAAGTTTAGCCAGAAATCCCTGGATGCTGCTCAGAGCTTCTAACTGATTCTCGAGCTCCCCCAGGTGGCCCAGTGGAAATTTAACTTCACAAACTCTTAACAGCAGTGGGCAGGAAAGGACAGCTTGACCTGAAACGCCATAAATCAGTCAAAATGTACATTCCCAGGAAATGTGAACAGTAACAAGGGCAGTGGGAAAAGTAATCTACAAGGAATCAGAATAACGTAAAAGGGAACTCACGGTCCTTACAGCTGAACTGTGCATGGATATCCTCAAAGTTCATAGGATTTTGTTTATTTTATCTAGCCATTTTGGGCACACTCGAGGCTGAAAAGGAGAGAAGGAAATCTGGGCTGTCATCAAGAGTTCACTTTCGAAACCAAGGCTCTGAGGCCAAGTATACTCAAGAGCTAACTCTGACCAGGCAGAAGCAGAAGGAGTGCATAGAGGAGACCCTCTGGCTCCAGGTGAGGCCCGCCACCAGTCAGGTTGGTTGGTAGAGGGAACAGCAGCTGGGTTTTATGGTGGCATAGGTGGATCTCTGAACCTTACACCAGCAACCTCTTATTCAGGACAAAAGAAAGCATTGTTTGGAGCTCCCCAGTAGCATTGATACCATGCTTCACTCTGCATACTTTTCAGGAAAATATCCGAGATAAACTGCGTCCCATTCCCATAACTGCTTCAGTAGAGATCCAAGAGCCAAACACGCGGAGGAGAGTGAACTCACTTCCGGAGGTTCTTCCCATTCTGAATTCAAACGAACCCAAGACAGTTCACAGAGATGTAAGTCTTCCTGACTTTTGTATTGCCAAAGCTTCCACCATATTATTATGCTACATCATATGTCTTTGAAGGCAGGAGGACTAGTGATTTGCTTTTTTAAAGTCCATTCCTTTGTATTACAAATAGGCTTTTTAATATATGCCAAGTTTGTTTGAGATTTGTTTCCCAAATTGACAACAAATATAGGAATATATGGAATACAATTTGGAGCCAGAGAGTATTGTTCTTAATAATTTTTGGCCTTACTGAGACTTACTGAGAGTATAATTGGCAGAACTCATTCTCACATCAAGTTTCTCCTATGGCCATTTGTTAGAAAGAAAAATACACTGCATTTTACCACTGAGAACATTAAAATGTAGAAAATAAACTTGGTAGTCTGAACGTTGAATCAAGGAATATAAAGTTCCTTAGCCATGAAATAGTCATTTAGTGGCTAATGTAGCCCATGTAATCTTAGGAAGACAATTCATATTATATGGCTTGTTCTGTGCCTCCTATGAGGTGGGGCCTATTTGCTAGGGTTTAGCGTGGCTGAGACATGAGAACAGGCTGGGGACCTGTGGCATCCTGATCTGGTATTGGTGCACCTGCTGTCAAAATCCAGTTGGTGCTGGAGCGTCCACTCTGTGGCTCTTGGTTCTGATGGCTCCCTGACAGAGCATCATCACTATTATTGGTACTTCTTACAGTATCCCTATGAAGTCAGCTGGTGGCATCCCCATATCACCAGTGGTGACACTTGGACTCTGAAAGGTTAAGTGACTTGCCCAAAGCCCCACGGCTAAGTGTGTAGCAGAGCGAGGTTTGGAAGGTGGACCTGTGTGGCTGCAGGGCTCACGCTCTTGACTACACCTCAGTGGCCTGGCCAGAGTGTTCTTACAGCACAGCTCTGTTGAGGACGGTTCCGTTAAAGGCACTGAATGCGGGGCAGAGCACGTTTGAAGCTTCTGCTGTGGTAGCTGTTGCACAGGGAAAGGCTGTATGGAAACAGCCAGTCACTGTTGCGGTCCCGAATGGCATGAATTACAGTGGTTTTGTTTTCACCAGAGAGGGAGACAAACCCTAAGAGACTTAATCTTAGGAAACAAACTGAGGGTTGCTGGAGGGGGAGGAGGGGGTGCTGGGGTGATGGACCTTAAGGAGGGCATGAGATGTGATGAGCACTGGATGTTACATAGGACTGATGAATCACTGACCTCTACCGCTGAAACCAATAGTACATTATATGTTAATTGAATGTAAATTAAAAAAATAAAAATTAAAAAAAAACCCAAATCAGCAATGGTTTTGTTTTCCTCCAGGTGCACTTCTTAAAAGAGGGATGTGGAGACGACAATGTATGTAACAGCAACCTTAAACTAGAATATAAATTTTGTACCCGAGAAGGAAATCAAGACAAGTTTTCTTACTTACCAGTGTAAGAATCGCTCTGTCTTCCAAGCAAAAATGACTGGCTTTGCAGTGGGTTACTGAAAACGTACTGAGCTCTTTGTCATTTTTGTTTTGTTTTGGTGTGTGTGTGTGTGTGTGTGTGTGTGTGTGTGTGTGTGTATGTATGTATGTGTATGTGTGTTATAGTCAGAAAGGTGTACCAGAACTAGTTCTAAAAGACCAGAAGGACATTGCTTTAGAAATAACAGTGACCAACAGCCCTTCGGATCCAAGGGACCCCGCGAAAGACGGAGATGACGCTCATGAAGCGAAGCTCGTGGCAACCTTTCCCGACACTCTGACTTACTCGGCGTACAGAGAACTGCGGGCTTTCCCTGTAAGTGGTCTCACAGCAGCTGGGGGCAAACGCCCAGCCCTGGGTGGCCCTGAGCGGCTGGTGATCTCGTGTTTTTCTGTTACAGGAGAAACAGCTGAGTTGTGTTGCCAATCAGAACGGCTCGCAAGCAGACTGTGAGCTTGGAAATCCTTTCAAAAGAAATTCCAGTGTAGGTGATGCCTTCACCTACTGCATTGTGCCGTTTCATGCCATTACAGGGTCGACGTGCTTGGTCTGTATTAACGTCTGTTTCTATTTTGCAGGTGACTTTTTATTTGATTTTAAGTACAACTGAGGTCACCTTTGACACCACAGATCTGGATATTAATCTGAAGTTGGAAACGTAAGACTTACTTCAACCTTTCCATTCAGAATTATTTCATGAAAACACAGCCAGTCAATGAATTGGCTCTGCTCTGACTCATGAAAGAAGTGTAATTGTAATGAGAAAACAGACTGTTAAAATGAAACCCTATTGTTTCCTTTTCATTTTTCAGAACAAGCAATCAAGATAATTTGGCTTCAATTACAGCTACAGCAAAAGTGGTTATTGAACTGCTTTTATCAGTCTCTGGGTAAGTGTTTGTGTTTAGCATAACAAATCAGTGTTTAAAAGAACCATTTACAATCCTCGCTAAAACTGGTGTTTTTTAATTTAACAGAGTTGCTAAACCTTCCCAGGTGTATTTTGGAGGTACAGTTGTTGGTGAGCAAGCTATGAAATCTGAAGATGAGGTGGGAAGTTTAATAGAGTATGAGTTCAGGGTGAGTTGCAGTGGTTGTTCTTTTATATATACCAAAAACGAACATATACTATATATGGTAATACAGGTAATATAATTTTAGTAAATGTGAATATGTAACTTTAATATGTAATATCAACATTAATAAATATTAATAAGCATGATAAATCCTCAGTTAAAAGTGAGTTCACCAACGTTTAAAGCACATACTGGCTTACCGTAAAAATTCTGTCCTCCAGAACGGAGAACACAACTGTCACTCGAATCATGGACTTTGTTCAAAATCCAGTTCAGTTTGGTCATTTTCTTATTAGAGAGTTTTCATGTATAAGTGGTGCAGAGACAGAGGAATCCCCCCCGCCCCGAGTCTGTCTGTAACACAAATCTCAAAGTAATTGATACCTGGCTTTAGAATCTGTCAGGATTTTTTTCTTCCATTGTGAGGTCCTCTCTCATAGCGCGTGTGGTTAATGTTGCCTCACGTTTTACAAGCCCAGTGCCCGTGAGAACACTCATGCTTGCTCTGAAGCATTTCTAAGCAAGAATCACAGTGACTCTCAGTCCAGTTGGATGAACATAAGTGCATGGTGCAGAGGTGGCTCATAACTCATCTGTGGGTTTGGATCTGCATGGCTCAGACATGCCAAGACAGCACAGTGGCCATGGTGGAGGCGAAAGTCTGAGATGGCAAGAAGGTGCCCACCCCTGACTCCAGCAGGGTGAGGGGCTGAGTTCTGCTCTGTGTGTCTCAGCATTGCAGACACAGCTGTGACAGGGAGCGGTGGCAGCAGTGAGGATGCCTGTGCAGGTGTGGCTGCCAAGAGGTGTCGGCAGTCCTGCCACACACACACACACACACACACACACACCCACACACACCCACCCACACCCCCGCCCCCCCCTCATTTGGCTTCTGCTGCAGGAAGTTGCTCTGTTTCCAGCTTGGACTCCTGATTCACGGACGTCATTAACGGTTTTACTCAGGCTCTCAGTTGCTCCCCAAGCTCCTCCTTGTAGTAGGAGACAGGGGCAACTTGACTTTGGCATAAGGTGGGGCTTCCCCGGAGCAGGCTGCTGGCGCACTGCCGTGGCCCAGACTTCTCTGCCGGGCAGGCCGGCTACAGAGCGACTCACAGAGCCCCGTGACCCTCCCAGAGCATGTTGAGAGCGTGGCGTGTCTGCGCTGCAGATTCTCTTGCACACAGTAGTTCCTGGGTTGAAGGAGCAATCGTTTCTCTTTTACCTTTCCTAGGCATGCATCTCTATTGTGGAGGCCCTGTCTATCTGTAGTCCATTTTTGGAGCCTATACTTTCATTGGAGGATTATGCCAGATATTTCCTTCCCCCACCCCTTGCCCACAGGAGCTGCTCCTTAATTTTATATTGAGAGAATTACACTGAGATATAATACGTATTATTTCCTAACAGGTAATTAACTTGGGTAAACCTCTTAAAAACCTTGGCACAGCAACCTTGAATATCCAGTGGCCAAAAGAAATTAGCAACGGCAAATGGCTGCTTTATTTGGTGAAAGTAGAATCCAAAGGATTGGAAAAAATAGCTTGTGAGCCACGGAGTGAAATAAACTTCCTGAACCTAAAGGTATGTTGACTTACCCTCTGTCTTCATAGTGTACATAAGGGAAGCGAACTTTTGTGGGGAAAATCCTTACTTTCCTGAGGAAAGTGACATGGTGGTGTGCTGACTTCTTTGGTGTCACATTTTCTCTTATAGTTGAGTAACCAAGTCAGGCTGAGGATTTCTGCTGATTGGCTACCATTATGGCACATCAGTCAGGGTGATTCAGTGCTTGTTGAAGGAAATGACGTTTTCTGGAGTTTTAGGCCCCAGTATGACCTATAAAAAGGACTGGGATGTGCTTCTGGGTGGGCCAATGTTCACTCCCAATATAACCAAACTCATTACAGAAGATACTGGCACTTTAGCAAGAGACCTTCAAAGCTTTCATTCTTAATTTATTTTTTTTTTAAAGATTTATTTATTTGAGAGAGCAAGCACATGGAGGGAGAGGGGGAAGCAGATGCCCCACTGAGCAGGGAGCCCCATGCGGGCTCGATCCCAGGACCCTGGGACCATGACCTGAGCCGAAGGCAGGCGCTTAACTCACTGAGCCACCCAAGGCACCCCTCATTCTTATTTTTTTTTAAAGATTTTATTTATTTGACAGAGCGACACATCGAGAGAGGGAACACAAGCAGGGGGAATGGGAGAGGGAGAAGCAGGCTTCCTGCTGAGCAGGGAGCCCGATGCGGGGCTCGATCCCAGGACCCTGGGACCATGACCTGAGCCGAAGGCAGACGCCTGATCTCACCCAGGCGCCCCTTATTTTTTTTCGTAGTTAATATTTATCAAGTGTTGATTGTGTCTCAGGCACTGTGCTAAGCATTTTGCTTTTTCTCATTTCGTTCTCTTCATAGTCCTTTGAGGTATTTTGCTTATCCCTACCATTTCACAGATGAGAAAATTGAGATTTAGAGAGATTAACATTTTAAGCACTTAGCAGTTAAGAGGCAGAGTCTGCATTCAAGCTCAGCTCTGCCTGTTTTCAAAGCCTGTACTCATAACCACTCTGTGCTGCACACTGACATTTCTGGTTTATTACTTATGCTCCAGTGTGATGATCTGCTTTGTTATCACATGTCTGTTTCTTTTCTTCTTTTTAAACGCTTGTGTTGAGGGCTGACTTTCAGTAGATCACAGTAAGGGAGCTACTCTGTTTCTTTTAAGTTCTGAGGTGACAGTATGCTCAGAGTTCACAGTTGGCAGCTTATGGAAGGATCCTCTGTTCATCAACTTTGAAAAACAAGACGGTCCATGACTCTTAATCCTATCTTTTTTCTTTTTTAAAGATTTTATTTATTTGACAGACACAGCGAGAGAGAGAGAGAGAGAGAGAACACAAGCAGGGGGAGTGGGAGAGGGAGAAGCAGGCTTCCCGCGGAGTAGGGAGCCCGAGGCGGGGCTCGATCCCAGGACCCTGGGACCATGACCTGAGCCGAAGGCAGATGCTTAACGACTGAGCCACCCAGGCGCCCGCACTCTTACTCCTATCTTAAGGAAAATGCTATCTTAAAACTACTTACGTGGGTTAGTTTTCAGGACTCTGCTTTGAATGAGTCACATACTCATTCTTTTGCTTTTTTCCGTTCGTCAGTGTCATTTATTCAAGATGTGCTGACTTTTTATCACGTGTTAGTTACCGAACTGGGTGCTGGGGATATACAGATGGGATATGCTGCCTGATCTCGGGATGCTCAGTTTGGTGAGGAGACAGAAGAACAAAGCCCGCTTTCTCTTCACCTGAGTTTTAAAGTCAGAGTGGGAATAAACTACCTGAATCAATAAACTTGCAATGAGATTGGAACATTTGTGGATTTTACACTTAAATTGTTTCTGTGCCTTTGGTAACAGGAGATGGGGAAATACTGTTGATTATGTGAATTTGGCATCATTTGGAAGGGAGTGCTCGTGAGGTCTATGCAGTAGTGACCATTACATTAAGTTAGAACTATTTTGGATATAATTTCTTTTCAGGAGTCTCACAACTCAAGAAGGAAACGGGAAATTGCTGAAAAACAGATAGATGATAGCAGAAAATTTTCTTTATTTGCTGAAAGAAAATATCAGACTCTTGTAAGTATTTCTCAACAGCCTGAGTATTGGGCAGACGGTGGCAGGATGCCCGTTACTGTTGGATTTTAACTACCACCCTTTTCTCCCCAGAACTGCAGCACGAACGTGAACTGCGTGAACATAAGCTGCCCGCTGCGAGGGCTGGACAGCAAAGCCTCTGTCGTTCTGCGCTCGAGGTTATGGAATAGCACGTTTCTAGAGGTTCGGTTCTGCCTTGAGGCTGTCCCCTGGAAGTCAATTTGCTATCTCTTAGGACCTTTCTCATTTCCTAAACGCATTTGCTAACTTTGTCTCCAAACAGGAATATTCCAAAATGAACTACTTGGATATTCTCACACGGGCTTCCATTGACATAGCTGCCGCCGCCGAGAACATCAAGCTGCCAAACGCCGGCACTCAGGTGAGAGGTTGTTCCGCCTTCCCAGAGTTCAGAGCCGATCACTCCTTCTCCACTGCACGCCCGCAGCCTGAGGACGTGCTACCTTGGCAGTCCTCCCCCTCACAACCCCGTTACCCCCATCAAGGAGAAGTCTGATGATGCTCTAAGGGGCTGCCACTCCAAGCTGTATTTTAATAGAATCACTGGAGAAAGGAGTACATCTAGGATCGTCTAGTTCTGCAGTGCACATGGTAGATTTGGGAAAGAATGGGTGCACCTCCCACCTCTATAGAAACCCCAGGTCATCAACTATCCCCAGTGCTGTAGCCACTGCCGGAGTGTCCCCAGTGATGGTAACCACCACTTTATGGAGTAGCTCGTGGCATGTGTGGCCAGCTGTAGTTACTAGAAAAGATCTCTTTACATATATATGAATCCAGAGTTGAATCTTACAAAATCGGTCCCTGGTTATGCCCCTTGGAACAAGCCCAAAATAAGTCCTTTCTCTTAGCCGCGTAGCAGCCTTTGGAGTAACTGAAGGAAACTGGCATGCCCCTTGGACAGGTCTCTCGTTCTGTTCAGAGCAGAGCCTCCAGCTCTTCAGTTACCCATCAGGCCAGGCCCTCTCCTTCCTGGGCTGGCCCGGGTCCGGCAGTGTGACTCCTGGATGGGCAGGGCGCAGATGTGTGATCTGCCTCACTCGGCTCACCGTGAGGCGTTTACCTGCCAACACCGTGGCCCCATGCTGCTATCAGTCAGACTAAAACTTGGTTTTTCGGTGTACACAGAAGATTGCGTTTGTACTTCCAGCAGCTACTGGTTTTGTGTTTCTGTTCTGCTGCAACTTCCAGGTGTTTTCAGCAGGATGTGGTGTTAAGCTATAGCTCCCATAGCCCATCCTTGAGCAATTTTTAAAAATCTAAATGCATGTCTTTAAATAGCTCCTCATGTTTTAGGTGGTTGGCTTGTGGTCTGTCATTTCAGTTCACAAAGTCATTCTGACTCTTGATCATTTGCCCTCTCTTAGCTTTCTATCCCTTTTGTATTTTTCAAAGCTGAGAAGCACAGCTTCTATGTCCTCATCCAGGCAACTGAGGAAAGTACTGAACAGAACTGGGGGCGCAGTGGCTGTGGGGGCACACTGGGGGGGTTCCTTGTGGGGGTCTGGAGCCCACAGGGGCTTGTGTCATGCTCTTGAGATACAATGCCTGCATGTCATGGACCAGAATGTTTTGCAAAAGAGACTGAATGGAGAAAAAGACTGACTTACCATTCTCCAGCTGACCTACTGATGTGCCCATGGAAGTTTTGGCTTCGGACCTTTGAGCCAGCTGAAAGTGCAGTGAGCCTCCCTGAGCACTGGTTTCTGAATACAGTGATCCTTGGCTGTTAAAATCTACCATCCACACCCAGAGATGTTTGGGGCAGATGCTAAACTGGGCAGGATGCTGGGACAAGGGTTATAAATCAGGACTGTCCCAGGCTCACCAGGACATCCGGTCACTCTGGCCTTAGATCATCTCTGCATGCTAGTCCAGCCCACCTTTCTGCCTCTTACCAATAAGGCGTCGTAAGAGACTATCAACTGAACAGAACCTCCCTGAGAAGCCCTTTTCTGCCCCTCTGACTGGAAGCACAGCCATAGCTTTCTGAAACTTGCAACCAGTAACCTGGAGAATCACTGAGTTTTGAAAGCTGGGAAAAGAACACACAACTTGGAGGGAAGGGACAGACATTTATAATGCATTAATTATCTGTAGTCCTCTAAACCTCAGAATGACAAGGTAGATGTACTCATTTTCCAAAAAAGGAAGCAGGCACAGCAGGGGATGCCAGTGGGGTCCTGAATTGAAACCTGTAAACCGGTCTGGTTTCAGGGCTCCTGTTCTTAACTCTGTAACACTTGCTTCCCATTAAGTCCCCAGATCTCAAATGCAGAGGAGAAAACAACCCAAGGAAGGTTGTCTCTCCCCCAGGGTCATAGGACTGGCGGGCATGTGGAGGGGAGACCCGACGTTGGGCTCACAAGCCCTCATCAGGCGCTCTTGTTGGCTGGAAGATGATGGAACTGGGGTGCTGGTACCCAGTCTAGCGGCTGGGTCACAAATGAAAGTGAGCTTATCTTGGGCATTACATGTTAGGGCTTGGAGAACTCAGGCATGCTAATGGGAATTGGGATCTCTGCTGTGATCCTCCTTGGTTTAATAATTGGCAGATACATGAATGGATTAATGTCTTGTATCTAGAGTGCATTTGTCTTGAAAACAGAGACGTTTTCTTGCCTCTAGTCTTCTGGTACCTCTTCTCTTGACTCTGATTTCTGAGCGACAACAGCTCCGATGCCCTATATACAGGTTTCTTTAGTATTTTAGAGTGTACTTTTCCTGGGCCTAAAGATTTAAGCTTAATTCACGTGTTAGGATGCTTTCCTTTTTTATTCCCTCACTTATTGGGGGTTTCAGTTTTATCTTTATCTTGGTTCATCTGTTGCATTTTCCAGCCCGAAGATCATTTTTCTTTGGAGATAGAAGCAGAGGAAGTGGGGTAATTCAGTCTTGTCGTTTGGTCTTCATATTAAAACTTCTTGCTTTTATTCTAATCGTGGCTTTAAAAAGAAAGGAAAAAACCCTTTTAATTACCTTATAACCCAACCAACCCCCACGAAATCAGAAAGTTACCTGTTCAGCTCTCATACTGTTGGATTGCTGCCATTTATAGGAGTGGTTTCCTCTGTTAATCAGCCATTTAAAAGGCTCTGGTACACTATCTGATTATAAGGCTGATTCCCCTGCCATGGACCACTCTCCACTTCCAGGTTTATCAGAGCTTATTCTTGAAAATGAGGATGGCCCTTCCAGGTTCTCACCTTACCCCCAAGGACGTACTGTACGCTTCCCTCTGCGAGATAGGGAAGCAAAGTTAAGTGATATAGAACAGGCTCATTAGTTGTTTTGTTTTGGCTCAGAGTAGGCAAGCTTACTGGTCACATCGAGTGCACTATTTTATCCCTCGTCTTTCACCATTCTTCCCACTTCCTGGATGCCCCTGTGTTAGCCCCAGTAATCTCAAGAAAGGGTTTTTCTAGCTTAAAGCTGGTATGCCTGTCGGGGGAAGGGAGGCGAGGGGAAGTGAGCCTTGGGGTACCCCCCCGGGAGGGGGGCTGGCTGGCAGTTTGAGCGAAACCTCACTGAGAGCATAACAGGAAATACAGTAGCTGATAAAGGTGTTAAGAGTTGGTATAGCAGGCTGAAAACTGACTTCTTTGCTCTTAAATGTTCCAAGAAAAGCAGTTCTCTTGCTTTAAAGTATATTCTGAAGTCAGATGAGGTTGAGGAGCTGTTTTCTAGTATAAGCAGAAAGGGAAGTATTTTAGTGAAGACTTTTTTTTTTTTTTTTTTTTTTTTAAATCGAAGCACAGTGTAGACAGACATGGAAGCATTTTTAGGAAGCATCCGGGGTTCAATACTAATAGAGAGTACTTGACTGAAAACGCTTCTCAGAACTTAAAGACTCGGACTTTTTGTTTACCCTTCACTTTACATTTTCTTAAGTCAGAAACATCAGAAACTTCAAACTGGAAGCTCCCTCATCTGTTCACGGAGTCGTACTCCTAGTGATCACCAGGCCTTTTACAAGCTGTGAAAAACAGTCTCCTGGCACCACGGAAATCCATTTGAGAGTCCTAAACGCACAGAACCAAGTTGTTACAAACTGCCAGAAGCGACTTCTTAGATTTCTGAATAAACACTACTTCTGTTTAATTGGTATTTGCTAACTGTCAAGTGTCTAGAGCTTAGGCTTCTCATCAGCTGCTGCTTACAGCTCGAAGCCACCTCTGAAAGGGTCTACTTGGTCCAAATACACTGTCGAAGAACACGCGCCAGGCCATTTCAGGAAATTCTGTTGTGCACTGAGGGTCTTTAGACATCCTAAGGAAAAGTTAAAACGGTATCAGCAATGCAACTCCATCCTTATGTTTATATTTCACAACATCTTTAAAGTCCAAGTAAGGAATATAGGCTAATTGTACATAAAATGGCCCTTAAAACGAAAAGGGAAGGTGATCGTTCTCAACAAGATACCTGGTTATACGGATGAAACAAGATGTGCATTGATGATTGTTGAAACTTGGAGATGAAAAAAAGGATGCTTTGTTATACAATTTGATTCAAAACAACAGTTTTTAAAAGATGAGTTCTCAAAAAAATAACTTTGTCAAAACACAGTCCAGCATTTTCCAGGTTCTGGGAAAAGATCTCACATCAAAGAGGCATCTCATTCATCCAAGGCTGCGTTGCTCAGAATGTGTCTGGAAGCAGAATTAGAACTATAAAGTCCTGGTATTCTCACCCCCTTACAGTGGTGCTTTCCTTTATGCCCTGTAGATTCGTGTGACTGTGTTCCCCTCAAAGACCACAGCTCAGTACTCAGGAGTGCCTTGGTGGGTCGTCCTAGTGGCCGTACTCGCTGGGATTTTGATGCTTGCTCTCTTAGTGTTTTTACTATGGAAGGTAAGTCCTATTTGGCATTTGAGTTCTAACGACCTAAACTTCATTTCATGTTTTTTAAAAAGAGTGAATTTACACTGACAGTCTGTACATTCCTTTGTAATGCTTCCCTTTTCCCATTTTACTATGAAACTCTGCCAATAGAGCAAACTTGAGAATTTTACAATGAACACCTGTATATCTACCTAGTACCTGATATTTAAAAGTATATTATTTGTATATTATAAGGAGTTTCTTAAGTAAATTTTGGTGTTTTTCACATAATTTAGCATGTTTGGCAAATAACTTAAAAAATGTTAATACTTTAGCAATTTCTTCATCTAAAATTCTGAACCTAAGCCGAATTGTTGGATATCACATTAATCTGAACTTGTATCCCTGTTAATTTCAACTTCTATAAAGAAATGTTCGTGGTAGCCACTGGGGCTTGTGACAGTTGCAGCTAGATTAGGAATAGAAAAGCTTGAAATTCATAACTCCATTGCAAGGGATCCTCATTGCCTCTCTCAAACATGAGGAAGATCTGGGTTTAATATGATGTTCTTCATTAGAATTTGGTCCTGCAGATAAAATTAGTATCTTCTCCTTGATTTCTGCCAGTAAACAGTCTACATTATAAAAATGTGTGTAATGAGATGGATACATACTTTTGTTGCCAAAGATTATGACCCATAGAGTTTGGATTATTCTAAGTGACCAATGGAGGTTCACAGTCCCTTATCGACAATTACAAATTACAGGATACTCTGAAAGCTGAAAGTTCATAATGACTTATTTGGCAGCAAAACTTGACAACATGTGAAGAGAAGCTATTTATATTCTAGAACCTTTATTTAATGGTTCTGCTGTGAAACTAATGTTTTGATTAGAGTGGCATTATGTATGCAACATACTACTTTTCTAAAATGCCAAAATTCTAGATTTCCAAACCTGTCTGGCCCAGTGGATTTTGGATTAAATGATTATGAACCTCTACCAGCAGTCCCTAAGATCAAACCATCTTTATCCTTTCCTTTGGATCCAAGAGTATAATTGACAAGGATTCAGGATATTGTCACTTTCAAATATTGGACATTTCTTTTTTGTGTTATTTTTCCAAGTAACTTCCTTTTGCCAGTTTGAGATAATTTTCTGGTGTCCTCCAAATGTGTGATTTGGAGCTTGGTGACTGCTCATGCCAAGACTCCTGCCTGCATTGGCTATTAGCCAGTCCTACCTCTGAGGTTCACTTCGGGCAGTAGGTTTCCCTGGTCAGCACAGGCAGCCAGCCATAGGAGATGCTCGGAAAATTATTTTGTTATCAAAAACTCAATCTGAAGTTTGATATTTGAGGACGGCCTTTGTGTGTGCTTTCTGGAGGAGGTGACAAGGACAGTATTTTTCAGAGCAGGTCTTATTGGTGATCTCTAATGAGGGTGAGACATAACAGTGGGTTAAGATACCCAAGCTGTATAATTTTAGGCAAATCATTTCATCTCCCTGGGACACTGGTTTGCTTTAGCTCTTTAGTAAGTGGATTGGACTATATGATCTCATGGGTTTGAGCTCATGTTTGTAGCTCTAAAGTATCCAGAACTCATACGTGAACTCTAAAGTAATCAGACAACCTCTGCAACCCCTACATGAAGACCATTTTTTATTACTTTGATATTCTTTCTGAAAATGAACTATTTGTTTCATGTATTAAAATCATAGAACTTAAGGGCTAGAAAGGACTCGAGTTCAGTGGCCTTTAAAATTGGGTTCTGCATATCCATATAGGTGCCAAGATTAAGCTAGGTGGTGCAGCTAGGGCCAATATTCCCACTTCCACCAGAGTCGTTCTGATGTTACTTGCTTTAAATACCAGGATACTGCATAGAGTTTTGTTTAGAGGTAAGGAGAAAAGTTCTTCAGGCTTATCCAGTCACCTTCATTTTGCCAACAAGGATGCTCATGACTGTGCATGTTAAGAATGTTGCCAAGCTGGAAGCAGGACCAGGACTCTTGGTTCCTGGTTCATTCCTTCACCCAACCTTACTCATCAGTATGTGTTACTGAAAGTTGGCTGGGTGTGTTCACTGTGTATTAAATGGAGGGAGTCACAAGTAGATAATCAAGATTAAGGGTTTGGATCAGTGCTGCCCAGTAAAACTTTTTGTGATAATGGAGATTTTCTGAAGCTGCACTATCCAGTGAGACACATGTGGCTACTGAGCATCTGGAATGTGGCTGTTGCAACTAAGGTATTTTTAAATTTGAATCCCCACATGTAGTTAGTAGTTACCATAATGTACAAAACCGATCTAGATTTTTACCTTAATGAGTTGCCAGACTAGGAAACAGAATTTTCCAGGAGGGCAGATTTATTTTACCAAGCTATATTTCAAAGGGCAGTTCCACAGCCTTACAAACAAGTAAATAGAAAAAGTCCTCCCTCTTTGGATGAAGGAAATTATAGTAAAAAGTGGAATTACACCTCTGTGTTGATTTAGAGTGACCTAACCTGAGGAGCATAGGTTCCTACCACTTAAGGGTTACCTGGTGGTTCAGAATTTGGGAAAACGACAGCAATTGTTCTTTCATGATGGTGTATTTGAATTTATATTGTGATTTGCCCACAAACCCAAAGGCCTCAAGTAGATGGTGGCAGTTCTGTAAAACTTACGGTGAAAGGCAGAAGAATGCAGTATCTATTTTATTTGGATTTGTGCTAAATCTTAGCAAACTTCTTTGTCGCAGAAAAACTGCAGAAGTCGATCTTTTGCCTATTTTAGAGTTCATATTCTCCTGCATGAAGAAACCACCCAAAACTTCAATCAGATGGGTATATAATTTTCCTTTTAGGAGGATTTTTTTTTGTCCTCAGGATTTCGGTTACAGATAGAAAAATCAATTAGCTAATTAATGTCATCCATATAAGTATTTGACCAGAGACCCACGGTAATCAGGTTGGTTTGGTTGCGGTCACAGTATGACATAGTGTGGTGGCTGTTGTTTTGGCTGATCCATAAGTGGTCTCTCACAAGCTATAACTAGAAAACGGGTTACAATCTGAGATTTTTCTTTTGTTTAGCTCTTATACACAAAACTGTAAAACTGACTAAATACCTTGCTTCCTTATAGTGTGGTTTCTTCAAGAGAAATAAGAAAGATCATTATGATGCCACCTATCACAAGGCTGAGATCCATGCTCAGCCGTCTGATAAAGAGAGGCTTACTTCTGATGCATAGTATTGATCTACTTCTGTAATTGGTAATTGATCAATGTTTTTTAATTGCTAGCTGTGGGACTTGCTATGGTTGTGGTGGCTAACTTTAAGAGCAACAGCTTGCTGTGTGTGTCCCATTAACAGATGTTTCCAAATGTCCACACTGGCTTGCCTTGCTTGGATTTATTTTATTTCACTTGAAAGCTCAGTTTTGTTTTGTTTTTTTTAGAGACGCACAAAAAATCTTTTGTTGCAGGTGAGTTATTTTTGTGTTGTCAAACATCACCCACAGCAAGAAAGATGATTGGAATCGTTGTACACACGAAAGGAGGCATTAGACCTCCCTAGTAGCCCAGTTTGCTATGTGTTGTCAATCCCAGTATATAGCATCCCATTTGGAATTTCAAAGATGAATAAGAAATCATTGCAGGTTTCTTGTCCACTTTGGGATTTCCCACAGATAGCAGCTTGTGTTGACTGCCTAATTAACCTGTTGCATGTTGGAAACATTGTGTTTCTCTTGATGAGAAGGCTTTCTCACTGTCCTTTTTGATCTTGCTATAAAGTGATGGGGGAAGGCTTGGAATGCTTTTGTTGCTCAGTAATTGTTTTATGCTAGCTAAGCATGCAACTTCCTTTTCCTGCATATCTACTCCAGGTCAAAGACCATTACAACAAACTATGACTGTTGACCCAGTGGACATGAGGGCCAATTTCAGAAAATGGCTCTTTACCAAAGTGTGACCTTCATTATACAAAATTCTAATATAAAAATGCTCTGGACAGTTATGGTTTCAAATATGTTGTAATGGAGTTTGACCTTGTTTCATGTTCCTAGAGATTTTATTCAACTTTGGGTCTCGGTTGATTTTTAAGTTTGTGTTTTGCTTCTCTTATTTGTAAATCCATGGAAACAGGAATTGGTGGTAATTCCTTTTTCGATTTCTATGGGCACGAGAGGATGGAATTACTCCTGTAATCCCTTTCCATGGCACTGTCACAATGAATCCCAGCCTTTCCATTTCAGTCCTACACACCACCCTTGATTTCCTTTTGTTAAATGAAGAGCCACATTTTGTAATAGTATTTTGGCTTTTTTGCACAAAACAAAGGAGTCCATGTGGAAATGGCCTTAGAACAAAACTTCTTGGTCCGTTTTTCCTAATGATTTAGTGATGACTGAATCTAATTTCACTTTGCCCCGTGCCATTTTTATCAGCTCATTCAACATACATGTTCTGTTCCTGTTACATGGTACACGTTGATCATTCATTCCAAGCATCTTCTCCTCCTCCTGCCCCTAGCTGCATTTTTAAATGAAAAACACATCTTTTCCATGAAACATATATTTTATTCATTTAAAAAATTCAATTTGATTAAAAAATTTCCTGATATGTTCTCAAAATCTTTGGATCAGATTGAATATTTTTTAAAAAATGAATAAAATATATATTCATTAATAATTTAAGTGTAAATGTCTTCTGCAAAAGAAAATATGAGGGTTGCTCTGAAATTCTATGGGATACTTTCCTCAAGTTCTTTGCAGTACATGATGGATTTTATTATAGGACATAGTTGCTATGTGATTTATTAGTGAAGCAGCTTAATTTGGAAGCACAACAGGAAATCCAGGCAGTGTAAATTGCCTTGTAGCTAATGACAGATGTGTACTTAGCCTCAGGGGACAGAAGATTCTTAAACTGACTCGTTTGAACACTGGCATATTCAAATAGTAATTGGCAAAATATTGGTGATTTGATTCCATTTTGTTAGTGGAAGAGAGGCATGATGAAATAAGCTTTCATTTGTGGCCTTTAAAAAGACTGTTCTTAAATTAAAATGATCTAATAATCTGAAAATGAGATCTTTTTAATATAGTGTTGTGATTATAAAAAATGGAAGCACTGTCCCATAACTGAAATTGTTAGTAAAGAGCTAGCTTACTACATTGTTACAAAATGTCAAGATAAGATGGAAAAACAGACTTTTCTTCTAGTTTCACAGCTGTCTTCTCTTTTATCCCCACTGGCTGTTGTGTCTTTTCAACCTCCTAGTTCCTTCTTAAAAGAAACCATGTGTTTTTTTTCCTTCATCCAGAGGTAGGCGTAGCCGAACATAAAGCTTAGACGTTCCCATTTTGGGCACTTGCTTTTCTTGCGGTACTTAATTCGTTTCTGCTTCTCTCTCCCCTCGGTCAGTGCGGATTCTTTAAACGCACTAGGTACGACGATAGCGTTCCCCGCTACCACGCTGTGAGGATCCGGAAGGAAGAGCGGGAGATCAAAGATGAAAAATACATCGATAACCTTGAAAAAAAACAGTGGATCACAAGGTGGAATGAAAATGAAAGCTACTCCTAAAAGGGGCCCAGAAAAGCTTCACAGTACCCAAACTGCTTTCCCCCCACTAACTCAGAAATCTAAGTGGACTTAGGAGCCCGCTCCAGACCTGAATGTTACCTTCGGACAGACTACGCACGGTCTGAACTTACGGCTTTCACCGTGGATGCTGTCGTACAGCCTGAGGCTCCCTGGGCTGGCACAGCCGCATTTAAGACTGTTGGAGTGGAGTTGGCTTTAACTGCCTTCATTTAACTTTCCGGGTTGCCTTTGTTTTTGGTGTGGCTGCCTGGCATGTGCCGGGGCCAGCCGTCCTCCGTAGCTCAGCCTCTGCACCCCTTCTTCCCCTAGGCCCGGGCCGTCGGGATGGCTGCATTTCAATGCCAAGTGCTCTCTGAAGTGAAACGTGCAATAGGCGATGTGGCCATCCTGCCGTCTTTTCCCGGATGTGTGAATCCTCCTCACATCACACGACATCCTGGCCTCACCCTTCCTGTTCACTAAAACACATGGCTGCAACAGACTTGAATGCTAGGTATACTTACTTGTATATGGTATTTATTTTTTTCTTTTTTACAAACCATTTTGTTATCGACAGGCCAAAGATTCTCCAGTTTACCCTTCCAGTTGGATTAAACAATCAGAATGTGGTTTGAATTTAGTGCACACACAAAAAATCCTTTATAAGTTATTACATCTCCCTTCATGACAGCCCTCACCCCCCTCCTCCAGACCCAGACTGTTTCAGAAATAGGATTTAACCGTAAGATGTTTAATTCTTATCAGTGCATATTTTTGAGTCTAGAGCCCTGAGATCTCCTGCGTATTTTGTGCTGTAACTTTCAGGAACTCTCGGAAATAAGGGGTTGGTTTGTTGAACTTTGGCACAGTGTAGGCCCTGCTGCAAATAATGTATCATCCAGGACTTGAAAGAAAGGGTTGGTGCCTATGGTGGGTCCAAATGGATCCAGCATGAGTCTACTGAGTATCTGATACCAGAAGTCAGAACATCATAGGTTTTACATTTTTAAATGCTATTGGAATCATTTAATCAGTGAGTCAGTGTTCTGGTTTTTGCTTTGTTTCCTCCTACCCTGTATTCCCCAAAATTACTTGGGACTGTGCTAACTACCATTTTAAATGTAAAAATTAAGTGGCAGAGAAGGAAAACATTTCTGCACATTCAAGAGACATTGAATAGATAGGAAATCTGAATTTTTAAAAATTTACTTCAAAATGTTAAGTTATATGGGCAATAACAGAAAACAGGTGCTAATTTGTGTGGATCTAGTATAAGCAGCATCTCAGTCCTTTCAGAACAAAATACAACTGTATGTGCCACTGTTGCTTCAGAGCGTGGTGGGTTTTTTTTTTTTCTGAAATCATAGGCCCTTAAGATACTAAAGACATTATTCTCATTGTACTTTGGAATTTTCATTCACAAAAGATAGTCTTACAAACGATACTTTGTTTACAAAAATTTCTCTAAAACAGGTCATACCAGTGTTGAAATCTCCGTTTCTTGCTTAGGTAGGTAACTTGTAACCGAATGCACTGGCTTTATAGGTTGCCAGGCAGCTGATATTTTGAAAGTGTCTATAGACCTCTGTTTAAAAAAAAAAAAAAAAGTCCTAAAAGGGAGGGAGGAGGTGGAGGGCTGGTTCAACAACAAAGAATGTAATGGTGTTTGTTAAAAACGTCATCTCAAGTCAAGTCACTGGTCTGTTTGCATTTGATACATTTTAATACTAACTAGCACTGTAAAATTATGATTAGAAAATACCTGTGGATATTTGTATAAAAGTGTGAAATTTTTTTATGAAAGTGTTCATTGCTTAGTAACACATTATGTATGTGAAACAAACTCTAAAATTATAAAAAACCTGAATTGCTTTTTTTATTTTATGGAGCCAAACTCAAGTTTTTGATATTTTCTGTGATTGAGGGGTTTTTTCCCCCCCTTTGGGCTCTATTGCACAGTTGTCAAAAGAAAATGATCTTAAAGATGGTTTTATTCAAGATATCTACAAACTGGGAGATGTCATTTAGCAATGATACCATGGCGTGAAGAGTAAGAGTTCTTATGGAAAAGTTGCTTTCTTCTGAGAAGATATTTTGGATGTGAGCGCAGTTCTGCTGTGACATTATTTATCGCCAAGGACTGATTGGGCAGAACTGACTGGCCTGAAAATATTTTCTTCACCAAAGGATTTTGTTTAGATTTAAGCAATTTTATGAGCTTTCTCTAGCTGGATTATCACAATCTAATAAATGAAAATAAGGCATGTATATAGAGCTCAGATAATATAGCATGCCCTATCCTGAATAAATTTCCAATGCAAAATGTCTTATCTGTCTAGTAACTTAAGTAATGGTTTTCTACTAGGTATTATATAGTGAATCTTAGTCTTCTTAGTTCTTTGGGTGGCAAAACCAGTCTGATCTTCAAAGAAATGTGATGGGTATTTTAATGACAGACCAGTGTGAATGAACTTCTATTCACAGTCCCATGGACCTACCCAGATTAATGACTATAATATGTAACCACCATAACCATTCAAAGTGTCTTGGCTAGGGCATAAATGACCTGTGCTGGACATCATGGCAATGGCTTTATGTGATTCTTTCCCTTTCTCTCCCTCTTAAAAAAATCCTGCAGGAATGCCCAGGAGTGACAGTAGTAGATAAATAGGAATATCCTTGGATCCATTTACAAACATTGACATGTTGTTACTTGCCCCAGTCTCACAATGGGTCATGCCCTTGGGGCTGAGACTATTTCGGAATATGGGGTGGATGTACGTGGTAACGCTTTAAATTGTCCAGACCACGGAAGTAAGGGTAAGATCAAGCCTTCTACCCTAAATGAAAACATCTTAATGAGAACTGATCTCTGGCACACTACCCCATGAAAGGACAATGTGGGAAAACATTGGGATTAATAGATTTTGTTTTAAAGGAAGAAAAGAGTGAAATATTCTAGGTGGCTGGGTTCCACAGAAGTACAACCTGAGGGCCGAGAAAACAGGAATGTATGACAGTTGTGACCAGGAGGGGTAGCATAAAGTAAGTGGTTAAAGGCAGTTCCTTAAGACCAAAAGGGTCTAGTCATGGTTCAACCACTGAGGAAAAGACAAGGTTCAAAGAGATGAAGAAAATGAACTTCAGAGTGATTTCAAAACAGCAGCTACCACAAAAAAGCCAATAGCCTCTGTTCTTCCAGTAGCTCTTGCTTATGGTCACATGGCAAGTAAGTGTTTTTTTTCCTTTTGTACCTTTAAAAAAACAGGTTTTGCTGACTCTGAAAGGCATCTGGCCCAGCTGTTAGGATGGGGGAAGCAGTGAGTACTGGTGGCTGAGGCCAGCTCTGCAGAGGCGTTAACCAACAGGCCCATCTAGAAGGAAAGTTGTAAAGGGATTGATTCATGGTTAAAATCCTCTAAGAAGACAGAAATCAGAAAAAAACTAGTCTAGCACAGTGCAAGGGTGGACCACGTGCCACACAGTGCATAACCAACCAGGGAATGGTTAATGAGGACACTGGAGTGAGGGAGTTAAGTGCAGTTTCTGTAGAGTCAGCAGGGCTTAAGGGCCTCTGTCATCTCTTCTCCCTCTCCCCAAAGCCTTCTCAGTCCGACTGCTCCATGGAAATGGGCAGCGACAGACCCATGTTAGCAGAGGTCAGATAAAATTTTACTATTCGTACTTCTAGAACGTTCACAAAGTCTCAATCTACATGGATGGCATGTACTTCATTATCCAGAGCTTAGCACATAAGTATTCAATTCACCAATAACCAGTAGATAGATGTGAGTGTTCTGTTATTGTGAGGGAGCCTGGGTGGCTCAGTCGGTTGAGCGTCCGACTCTTGGTTTTGGCTCATGGTCATGAGATCCAGCCCTGTGTCAGGCTCCATGCTCAGCGGGGAGTCTGCTTGAGATTCTCTCTCCCTCTGCCCTTACCCCCATGCGTGCTCGCTCTCTCTCTCTCTCAAATCTTGATAAAAGATCCTGTCATTGTGAAAGAGACAGATGTAGTTTAATAATTGATAGATGAATGGATAAAGAAGATGTGGTATATATGTTCTATGGAGTATTCTGCAGCCATAAAAAAGATTGCCATTTGTGACAACATGGATGGAACTAGAGGGCATAATGCTAAGTGAAATAAAGACAGATACCATATGATTTCACTTACAGGTGGAATATAAAAAAACAAGGCAAACAAAGTAGAAACAGACACATAAACACAGAACAAACTGGTGGTTGCCAGAGGGGAGAGGGGTGTGGAGAGGAAACAAGAAAACAGTGAAGGGGAGTGGGAGGGACAGGCTTTCAGTCTGGGAATGGATAAGTCACAGGGATGAAAGACACAGCAGAGGGAATATAGTCAATAATGTAACAGCATTTTATGGTGACAAATGGCAGCCATACTGGTGTTGAATGCGACAGTATATAGAGTTGTCTGATTACTATGTTGTATAGCTGTAACTAATGTAACACCATGTGTTAACTGCACCTCAATAAAAAACAAGGGGTGCCCGGCTGGCTCAGTTAAGTGTTCGATTCTTGGTTTCGACTCAGGTCATGATCTCAGGGTAGTGAGATCGAGCCCTGTGTCAGTCTCCACACTCGGGGTGGAGCCTGCTTAAGATTCTCTCTCTCCCCCTGCCCCTCACCATCTCTAAGAACAACCCCAAGTTCTCTATTACTACAGTCCTCCCCTCCCCAACACCTTTCATATGACCTGTAAGAATGAGAGAGTGTCTTAAGTACTATTTTCTTTTGACATAGACATTTTTTAGTAGAAGCATGCCATAGTTTGAGTTTCCTCATTATGTGAAGCTATTTATAACTCATTCATTTATTTACACATTCATTAGTTGTAGAGTAGTCTTATAGTACCCATTATAGGCCAAGGTCTATGGAAGGGGATGGAAATACAGAAGTTAACACAGACATGATTCTTACTTTTGTGGAACTTAAGTGATAACTAATATTTAATAAAAAAAAAAAGGACATCACAATAGCTAATTTATTTGTACTTTTAAATATAAAATCCACTGCCATTTGTCTATGTACTGATATTACTTATCATATCTTACATAGAAGGGCCCAAAAATCATAATCACAATTTGTGAAAAAGTTGACCCTAAAGAATAAAATAACGGTTGCTTTCAGTAGGAATTACTTTGTGTTCTTTTCCTTTCTTTTAACTCTGTCAGTGTGTAATAAAACACTGGAATACTTGAAAGACTCTAAGAAAAAAATTTAAATAAAATAACAGATGGTACGGTCAAACACAGATGAATCTACTTTAAGTAGAATTTAAAATCTTGCATTATGATACAAACGGTTAACATATAAGGTCAGTCAGTACCTGATCCTATGTGGGTGGAACCTGCCTCCAGAACCAACCCCAACCCCAGAAAATTTGGAATAGTCTCTCTCAACCTGGGCTCTGCACATTTGAATTTCTAAGGAACATATAAGAAAAAAGCCCAATGCCTAGACTGCATGCCAGACTGACCCTATTAGAATCTCAGGGTGGGACGCACACATCAGTGCTGCTGAAGGATCCCAAGGGACTCAAAATGCAACTGAGGTTGACAGTTGCTTAGGAGGTCGTTGGATGCCCTCCATGTGGAAATGCCTCCTTTCTCCTTGTGGTGTTTCTAATGCACCAGTAACGAGAGCTGAGAAGCTAGAGGCACGCTTGCCATAAAGGTGTCATCAAATGACTCACAGAACTGAAGTTCTAGGGCATCTGCCTAACGGAGAAAACCCCCCTGGTTAGGAAGTCTCCATCAGCAGAGCGACTAAGAGCAGCCCTCCTCACGTGGTGACATGCCAAGAATCACCTGGGGGTCTCGTGAAGATACAGGTTCTGATTCAGGCAGTCTGCAACAGAGCCTAAGGGTCAACATTTCTAACAAGATCCACGTGCTGCAAAGCTGTGGGTCCATGGCTTACACTGTGGGGAGCAAGGGGCTCCGGGGTCCATCTCCTCCAAGTCATTTCTCTGCCACTTCCTACTTGTCTGACCTTGGACAAATATACTCACCCCTGACTTCCACGGAAGATGGCAGAGGAGGAGTATCCCAGCCTCACCTTATCCCACAGACACAACTAGCTAACACCCACATCAGTGTAAATAACCAAGAAAACAACCCAAAGATTGGCAGAACAGACTCCACTGCTAAATGTAGAGAAGAGGCCACACTGCAGAGGGCAGGAAGGGTAGAGACACGGGGCGGGGGGGGGGTGTTAAACGGACCTGCATGAGGTTCACTGGAGAGAGGGACCCATGGGTATGGGGAAGGGAAGCAAACAGACTACCACACCAGAGAGCCTGCAGAGAGAAGACAATCCCTATAACATTTGGCTTTGAAAGTGACAGAGGCTGAATTTCTTACAACCAGCAGGACTTAAAGCCTGGAATTTAAAAAATCAGTGGTCTTGATTCTGGGAGACCCCAGAGGGTGACAGGAAGCTGAGTCCCTGCTCTTAAGGAGACAGCGTGACAAAAAGCCTGTGGAGAAACATAAAGAACAGTTTGAAAAATGCCTGGGATATAAGGGAGAGTTATTTACTAATCTCACAGCATGTCCTAGAAAGGCAGGTTTGCTGTGGGACTTCTCCATTGAAGGAGCTGGCAGGCACCACCCAATGCCCCAGCATAAAGTCATGGCCATCTGCGGGCAACAGTGCAGTGCCAACATTCACTACTTCACTTGCTTACACCAAGCCCTGTGTTTGGTGGGTTCTCAGTCCTGGCGGCAGTGGTGGTGGGCCCTGCAGAAGATCAAGGCACACTTTATTAAAATTGTGTGCCCTGCCCAGGTGTGCTCTGCGGATCTTCCCAGGCCAGCCCTGATCCTGGCCTCAGCAGGTCTCATTTTGTAAGCAGACTGGTGCAAACTTTGTTAAAACTGTGTGTCCCACCCCAGCTGGAGACAAAACATTGGCCACAACAAGCAAAGAGAGCCTCTGCAGACACCTGGACTGAAGGAAAAAGCACCCAGAACACAACAGCAGGGCATATGCAATACACACAGGAGACACCCCCCTTCTTGCTGGGTTTTGGTACATGGGGGACACTGCACTGCAGGGCACTATAGGACTTCTTCATCAGGCCATTACTATCAAGAGGAGATGTAGCTGACTTTCCTAACAGTGAGACAAAATGAGGAGACAGAGGAATACGTCCCAAAGAAAGAACAGGACCAAAGCACAAGAGACCTAAGCAACACTGATGTAAGTAATATGCCTGAGAGAGAATTTAAAGTAATGATTGTAAAGATACCCACTGGACTTGAGAAAAGAGTGGAGGACATCAGTGAGACCCTTAACAAAGAGATAAAAAAGAACCAATCAGAGATGAGGAAGACGATAAATAAAATTAAAAATACACTTGATGTAATAAATAGCAGGGTAGATAAAGCAGAGGAATGAATTAATAATGTGGAAGACAGAATAATGGAAAGTAATAAAGATGAGCAGGTGAGAGAAAAAAAACTGCAGAATGAGAATGTACTTAGGGAACTTACTAACCCCATGAAGTGTAATAACATTCACATTATAAGGATCCCAGGAGGAGAAAGAGAGGAGGGGGCAGAAAATTTATTTGAAGAAATAATAGCCAAAAACTTCCCCAATGTGGGGAAGGAAACAGATATCCAAATCCAGGAGGCCAGAGACGCCCCAACAAAATCAACCCAAGGAGGTCCACACCACAACACACAGTAGTTAAAATGGCAAATAGAAGTGATAGAGAATTTCAGAAACAGCAAGAGAAAAGAAGACAATTACATACAAGGGAATCTTCAAAAGGCTATCAGTGGATTTTTCAGTGGAAACTTTGCAGGCTAGAAGGAAGTGGCAAGATACAAGGTACTGAAAGGAAAAATAATCTGCAGCCAAGAACAGTCTATCCAGCAAGGCTATCATTCAGAATAGGAGAGATAAAGAGCTTCTCAGACAATGAAAAGCTAAAAGAGTTCATGACCAATAAATCAGCCCTATAAGAAATGTTAAAGGGGACTCTGAGTGAAAAGGAAAGACCATAAGTAAGAGTAAGAAAAATAGGGAAAAAAGATGCGGTAAACCACACACACACACACACACACACACACACACACACACACACACACACA